GAGAGAGAGAGAGAGAGAGAGAGAGAGAGAGAGAGAGAGAGAGAGAGAGAGAGAGAGAGAGAGAGAGGTCAGCTGCCCCTTCCAAGCCTTTGAGGACAAGTTCCTTCGAAGATTTCTCAGCGATGTCGATGGACATTAGGTCGAGAAGACTGGCTGGATCCTGGATCCTCGGGTAATAGAGCGAAACCTGGTTGTCCCCGTTGGTACAACGTTCCCATCTGTGGCATCTAGGGACCACCCATGTCTGTCCTGCATTTCTCAGACCCCAATTAAGGGGCCGGCAATGTGTCTTAAAACTGGCCACATTGAGTGAGGCGATTATGTAGTCAAGAGTGAATCCCTTCTGCCCAACAGGTTCACGTCTCGGATGGTGGCCACGGTCAACCTGATGCCAGCTCAGTTTGTAGATATGTCATCAAGAGCACGTATTTCCCTGGGTCTATGTCATTACCAGACCGTAACGGTCCTACTTTCATGTTCAGAAAGCATGAACCTACCTGCTGCTTATGTGATAAGGTGATGACACATGGCCACACAGGTCGATTTATTGCTTGATTGATTGCTTAAAAAAAGAAAAACGAAAAAAGGGCGGCAAAAAGTTTTTTTTTTTTTTTTTTTTTTGAGCAAAAACGGCAGGGGGAGGGGGTTGAAAAGGCGGGGGTTGGGAGAAGGGGGAGGAAGAGGGGAGGGAGGCGGAGGGGCGAACGTGGACGGGGTCGGGGACCCGCGGAGGGAGAGGAGCGGGAGGGGGTGGAGGAGGACGGAGAAGGACGGGCAGGAACAGGGGAACACAGTGGTTGGAACCAAATGGTGGGAGGTGTTTGTTTTATTTTTTACTTTTCTAAATCAATCAACCAATCACTCTTTGATTGATTAAAAAAACGAAGAACAAAAAGGTAAAAAAAGGGGCAACGAAAAGGGTTCTTTTTTTTTATAGCAGAAATGACGGGGGTGGGGGGGTGGTGGGTGGCGCAGGGAGAGAAGGGGGAAGAAGATGGGAGGGCAGGGAAGGGGCAAACCTGGGCGGGCCAGGGACCAGATGGGGGAAGGAGGAGAGGTGAGGACTGGCGGGGGCGGACGAAGGGGGGGGGGGGGGCAGGGGGGGAAGCATGTGTGCGTGTGTGTGTGTGTGTGCTGTCTCTTATACACATCTAGATGTGTATAAGAGACAGCAGAAAGAGAGAGAGAGAGATCGGAGAGAGAGAGAGAGAGAGAGAGAGAGAGAGAGAGA